CACATCACATACCACACATATACCTCTGCACTCACAGCCCCAGCACCACAGAAACTGCCACAACCCACACTCACCACATACTCACGAGGACACACTCACACTTTACACCAACATACCTAGTACACTGCCACTCTCAGACACCAACATGGACATGAATGTGAGAGCACACACAGCACACTCACCCACAGTCTCACGCTCCCAAATAGCACAGACATGCCCATACAGTAAAAGTTCACACAGGCTATATCCCTGTTCATAGAGATGTTCACCCCCACACAAACTCACTCTCTCACTTCCCTAACACCCACCAACACTCCCACACCCCACAGGGACACCCCTACCGTCATATTCCCCAACACCCCCAGGCACACACATCTGCACGCTCCTACATAAGCTCCCACACCACTGCCTCCCACCTCGGCCCCACAGCCCGCCGCCCCACTCAGCTGTCATGAACCACAGCTTTTCGGAGCCCTCCCAGAGCCCTCGGTGTTATGATGTCACCCTTCTGTGGCTGACGCTTGTGCTCAGTAAGAGAATCTGATGGCAAAGTCTTGGACCGAGACTGGTCCCAAAGCCTTGGGTGGAGGGAAGCATGGGCATGGACAGAGAAGCTGGCCAGGAGGCAGCTGAACACAGTCTGAGGCCATGACCATGTTCTCTGGCCTGGACAGGCTTGTTACAGAGCATCTGGGTGAGAAGCTGGACCCTGGAGGGGTTCCTGTGATTTGGGGTGGGGGATTTGGGGTTGGGGGTGTCCAACCCTCAAGGTTACCTCTAATCAGGCCAGGTTTTCCTGGTCTTAGGCACATCAAGAAGGATCCCCAGGATTCCAAAGAACCCTGGCTAATCAATAGCCATAATGGCAGCAAACAGAGCAATAATAATACAACCAGACCCTCTCTGTGTTCATATAACATTCTCACTTCTGTGATGCACACCCACCAACAGTGGCTCATAAAAGTCAGAGCCGCCCAGTGAGCAATTGGAAGGCAGGGGCCCAGCAGGGGCCCACCTCCCACCAGGCCTGGCTCAGACTGAGTGATGCGTAAGAAGTGAATTAAGTCTCAGCTGAATCTTAGATCCTGGAAACACCCACTGGAGTTGCCATTATTCCCATCTCACAAATGAAGGAACTGAGGTCTGTATTATGAAAGAGACTCACCCAGGATCCACATGATAAGTGAACTGAGGCCTCACACTTGAATCCAGGCCCCCTGATTCCACAGCCTAGAATTCAAACCAAACCTACCAGCTTCAGATAATCATCCATCTGCCCCCAGAAACCCCCAAAGGCCAGCCCATGCTGGCACCGCTCTCTGCCTTGGGGGGCACGGGGGAAGCCCTCAGCACCGGCACTGTGCTGACAAGGTGTATGTGGAGGATGTTTGCATGGGCACGTGTGCATGCTGGAGATGCATACAGGGTATATGATTGTCAAGGTGTGGGATAAGTGTGTGGAGGTGGTCAAAGCATGTGGGAGAAGGCTCTGTGGGCAGTTGTTAGGAGAGGGTGTGTCTATGTAGGGTGTGTGTGACTATGGGTATAGGCAGCCATGCGTGCAGGGGACATACTGTGAGAGAGATCCAGGCATAACTGTGGTTCATGTGCATGAGTGAGTGTGTGCCCACGAGAGAAGGGACAGGCTCTGCTTGCTCAGCCTGTTTCCTGGTCTCCTCTCTCTCTCTCTCTCTCTCTCTCTCTCTCGGCTTTATCTGGTCAGGCGGCTCTGCTCTCAGTGCAGGCAGCAGATAATTGATTGATAGAACAGGTTCTTGGCTCTTCAAGGTCTGGCCAGAGATAAGAGGAGATGCGAGTACCAGCACAGAGTGGCTGCTGAGATTTCAAGGACCACAGACACTGCATCCCGAGCCTTTGTCCTCCTCCTTTGCTGTCAGTGCTCTGTACATCCACCACAGTGGCACACAAAAAGTCAAAGCCACCCAATGAGCCCCTGGAGAACAGGGGCTAAGGCAGAGGCCCTCCTCCCACCAGGCCTGGCCCAGACTGAGGATGTTTGCCTTAGTGAATTAAGTCTCAGCTGAACATGCACTCACTCATGGCTTCCTTCACGCATCCATTCATTTTAACACTTGACCCAGCACCTACTAAGTACCCACCTGGGTTTTCTGGACCAGGAGGCCAATCAGACACAGGCCCTACAGCACAGCATGTATGGCCTGAGGGCCTACTCCAGGCCAGCAGCAGGACAGACAAGGCAGTAGCATAGCTCTAAGGACCTGCTCACATAAGCAGAGGCTGCTGAGCTCAGCTTTGCAGCTATTTCAGGCTGGGGTCCCTGGCAGATGTCAGGAGGACAGTATATTTGAGAATGAATGTGTTGGCCTGCCAGGGGCAGCACTGATAGCAAAGCTACCATCCTCCACTTATTTTCTGTCATGTACCAGACGTCGTGCCGCCATGCAGTTTAAAGTGATTGTCACTCTACCTTGTCCAAAGCCTTATGAGGTAAGTACTATTATTATCCAAGCTAAGGACC